ATTTTATTTTAAATTAGGAAGGGTATTGTTGTCCATTCATCCATTGGTACTAAGAGTCAGTTTGGTAGCAGTGAATTGGCTGAAATTGATGAAAATCTGGATGAAGTGGCTAAATTGGTTGAATATGTTGGATTGTGAAAAAATTATACTCCCTCCGTCCCAAGGAGAAGTTCCCGGGTTGACTTGCACACATTTTTAGGAAATAAAGTTATTGAGGGGTAAATTTTACTGTTTTGCACTGTTTTGACACTGTTTGGCACTGTTTGGCACTGTTTTAATGTAGGATAACTTTCCATTTAGGGAAATGGGAAGTTTCTTTTGGGACATCCAAATAAGGAAATTGGGAACTTCTCCCTGGGACGGAGGGAGTATTTAATATACAGTATATTTAATTAATAGAAAAATAGCAAAAATGTTTCCCTTCAACAATTTAAGTCAATTCAACAAGAAAAGTAAAAACTCCAACACTAGACCAAACCTAGACAAACCAAATCAGACAATGCCAACCAGCATTAAACATTTAAACAAATTATACCAGGCATAAACATGCTACTTCAAACCCAACATAGTCGAAATGAACAGGTCCTAGTAGTGTATAGACGTATAGTGGAGGGACTAAATCCGGTAAAAACTATTATTAACATACATCTGCAAATCTTATGTTCTGGAGCTTATGTATGCTTCACTAACAAAAGTGAGTTGTGCAGACTAACAACTCAAATTAGGAATGGTAACTGGAACTCCATATTTCGTTGATATTCGGTGTAAACCCAAAGTCATGGATCCTCTTCCACAAGATGAAGATTCAACAGATGTTGGTCATGACGACAAAGAGCCCATTTACAAACCTAATTCAACCGTTTCTGGCAGCGTTAGCGAACTATTGGAATGTCCCGTGTGCCGAAATGCTATGTATCCACCTATTCATCAGGTATCTATGGTTAACATAAAAGATATTGTAGTCACAAAGGGGTATAACCGTATAAGTTTTAGCTTGGCTAATTGTGTAAAATCTTTCTCCATGCTTGGAATAAGTAAGCTCATAAGTCATAACTACATTGTTTCATGTGTGGAGGATCTGCTAATTATTTATAGTGTTGAATGCATTCAGGATAAAATTAATTGAGTTCTAATAAAAGCAGTTGCTAGAGATAGTCCCAACTCTTAATCACCCTGACTTTTAGGAATCATAGGGCATGTTTGGTTCAGGGATTTCAGTGTTGAGAAGGGGAAGGTGAAATTCATTTTTTTTAATTATTTCTATACTTTTATGCTTAGATGGTTGGGATTAATATGAAGGTAAAGAAACTATATAGAAGTGTTTGATCCAAGTATGCATGCAATTATTTGTAGTATAGAACTAAAAAATTAGCATTAATTTGTAAAATTAAAATCAATCCTTCCCTCCCTTTCCCTCTGATATCCTTCAAAGAAACAAGCTTGCAGTCAGTTCGGATGGAGGGTTATCTCTATTTTGTTATATACTAAGGGTGTTTTTGGGAGTTAGTTTTTGGGAGGGTGGGTTATCTCTATTTTGATATATACTAAGAGTGTTTTTGGGAGTTAGTTTTTGGGAGGGAGGGAAAGACATGTGAGGGTTGATGATCCTCCTATTTGTGTTTGGGAGTTTAAAATATGTGGATGAATGACTTTGGAAGGTTTTTGTGACCCTCCAAAACCCCTCAAATACATCAATTTATAAGTTCCTCTAAACCGTTCTCCAAAACAAAGTCTTACCGTTCCATCCTCAACTATGTTAAAAGTTCTGATCAAGAAATATGTACACTAACTTTCAGTGGAATACAAGCATGGGCGTAGCCAGCAGTGGCGGATTTGGAATTTACATTTTGGGTGTTCAATGTTTTTTTACAACTAAAAATGTAAAGAGTAATAAATAATGATACTAAATTTATACACATATACTTGCATGTTTTTAAAAAAGTTGAGTGTTCATGTGAACACTTTGGTAGCCAGGGGGCCATGCTCTGGCCCAACTCAATTTTAAATAAAATCCTTTATATTTATATGTAGAACTTCTGGGTGAATATTATAAAAACTTATATGGATGAATCTTTTATCTTTATCCGTCCCACATGAATTTCCTCCTTTGGCTACACCACTGAATATAAGAATAATGACTATTTTTTGGAACCACTTTTTATACTCAGTATATAAACATGCAGTTTTTTGTGCTCTACTTTTTTGTTATTCAAATATTAACCCTCCTCTTACCACATTTCAGTGTTGCAATGGTCACACATTGTGTTCTGGGTGCAAGCCGAGGGTACAAAACCGATGCCCAACATGTAGGCATGAGCTTGGCAACATCAGATGCCTTGCTCTTGAGAAGGTGGCCGCATCTCTTGAGCTCCCTTGTAAGTACCACAGTTTTGGGTGTGTGGGGGTATACCCTTACTATAACAAGCTGAAGCATGAGTCTGAATGTGCTTTCAGACCTTACAATTGCCCTTATGCGGGATCTGAGTGCTCCGTGAGTGGAGACATTCCCTTTTTAGTGAAACATTTGAAAGAGGAACACAAGGTTGATATGCACAATGGAACCACTTTTAACCATCGCTACGTTAAGTCAAATCCACATGAGGTTGATAATGCCACGTGGATGCTCACTGTAAGCTTCTTTTTTATTTTGCTTAAAATTCTTAAATGTGCTTTATGTCCATTCAAATACAGCCTTTCGTTTTTATCCATGTAAAATATTTTTCATCGCTGGTTTTGTGCAATTTTGTAGTCCGGCCCTTACTCTCAGCCAAACTCCATTTAGAAAAAAATATTAATATTGCCTTCATAACTTCCATCTAAACTTGTTACGTTAACTTTATTGCAGCTTCTTAAAGACTAGTAGTTGAGTTAAGGCTAAGTGAAATTACTTGTTCACTTCTTTCATATAGGTCTCTATGTCCTACTCGTGTACCTCTGTTTCATTTAATAAACTGGCAGGATGTTCCCAAGCTCCTACAGTCCTACCTCAACCTCTGAGGGTTGGAACTTTTACTGGGTTAAAAAAATGCAATGCTGTCTCTAAGCTAGATGCAAATCCTCTTAGTCATGTCTATTTTGCTGTTAAAATAGGAGTTGCTAGAGACTTGGAAAAGCATAAATTGCAGACATGAGGGTAATATTTCGTAGGGGTCTAAACCCCCCCAAAAAAAATGCGGCCTTGCGGGGCCTAGAAGCATGTTTAAGCTTGTTTTCTCCATATGCAACGACATGATTCTCCTGATATAAACACAACCTTATTGCTTAAAACTTGGCTCAGACCAGCTGTTAATCAACAGGGTGTGAACCGAGGTTGGACCGGCCGGTTTTGAGGTTACCGGTGAGCCCATGGATTGAAGGGGTCAATGTATTTTACTTTTTAATTATGTAATGGAAACATGTCTTTTTTAATACGCTGTTTGCAAAGAACCTAACCATGTAGTTATGAGCTTGTGGAATCACTGTACATTTTATTTTAGTTTTTTCGAATGTTGATTAAATGTTAGTTTTAATTCAATCCATCACAAATGTAGGAAACATTTCTGATTTCAAGATTTGGCCAAATTATTCTTGTAATCAAAATTTAAGTTTTAGTATTATTTTTAATTTTTAATATAAAGCCCCTTTAGTAGGCTCATTCGGTTTAGTCTGCTCATCAGTAGAATAACCCAAATAAGTAGATTTTTTATTTGCTCATTTAGGTGAAGTGGATTTTAGTAAATATTTTTCCATATCATAAAATTTGGCAAATTTTACCATTCAAATCGATTATCCTTACAAACGGGCTCTAAGTATTATTAGTAAATGATGTTTTTTTAATTCTCTCTTTAATTTTTCTTTTTTTGAAATTCGTGTTATGTAGTTTGTAACTCTATGTTCTTAATATGTATGTTTTGACACTTGGATTGTAGGTATTCAGTTGCTTTGGGCAGTATTTTTGCTTGCATTTCGAAGCATTTCAGTTGGGGACGTCCCCAGCTTACATAGCATTCTTGAGGTTCATGGGGGATGATAGTGAAGCTAAAAAGTATAGCTACAGCCTTGAAGTCGGAGGGAACGGGAGAAAGATGACTTGGCAAGGGGTGCCGAGAAGTATACGGGACAGTCATCGGAAGGTTCGAGAAAGCTATGATGGCCTTGTCATTCAACGTAAGATGGCTCTTTTCTTCTCCGGTGGTGATCGGAAAGAGCTCAAACTCAGAGTCACTGGTAGGATCTGGAAAGAGCTATGACATGTTTCAACAAGGAATCATCGTACTAGTTCCATTACTTCCATATTTTGCAGTTTAACCATCTGATTTGTCTCTCGTTTTTTAGCATAGAAAGCAAGTTCTCTTTGCTTTGTGTAATGGTGCATGCAAAAAACTGTTTCTTTATATCAAATGTTATTTTATTCTTATTTTTCGAGGTCAAACGGAATAAGAAAATTTAGGATGTTTTTACTTGGACGGTTTTCAGTCTCAGACCAGACTTTAACATATTAGATAAGACCAGACTTAAACAGATCAAATCAGAACAGGCTTTTATAGTTATAAATACACAGAAATCATACATTACCAGACCAGTTTAGACCAGACCAAACTTAAAATACGTTCCTTTCTTTTCTCTTCCATCCCATTTTTGAGCACAACTATGGTTGTATGACTTAGTGACTTCATCAAACCGTCATGTGTCTGCAAGACTGCAACCATGAATTTGGCCTGTGGGTGATGTTCCATACGATACATACGCATTGCTGTGTTCCATATTAAAATACGGAGTATTAGGCGTTAGAACCTTACTTCAAAACCCTATTCTACCTTATAAGAAAACGAAGAATGAAGATATATATACTAGATTCCAAGAGTTTGAAATGCCTCTAAGTTATCAATTTGTACCCTTGAACTATATATATTGGAGAGTTTACATACAACTCATATAATGGACATAAATGCCATATGTTCTCTATACTTTTTTTTTTGGATGAAATGTAAATATATATTAACACCCAGAAAAAACTATACATCAAGATCTCCTACCCCCCACCCCACATAGTGTGAGGGTGAGAAGAGGTTTTTCTTTGATCTACTCCATGCCAAAATAACCAAGTATAATTACTCGGCCCATCAGAATATAACTCAAAAATACATCGGTGCCGCACATGCAAGCACACAGATCAGAGGCTAAAATCTAAGAATTACACAGGTGTTGCAAGAAACAAACACCCAAAACCCATCAAGGATCCGGTTTATGCCGCGGCATAACTAGAGCCCATGCCTTGATCTTCTAAGTTCGGAATCCAGTCCTGGACACTTCTCCATGCCACAAGATTGATAAACATACATGCCGTGTAGTAGTAGAGTCCCTAGGCCGCGACATCCATAATGTCCATGCCGCGGCATATGTGTAACATGGAGCCACGTCTAAGCAGCAAACCATGTCCATACCGGCAGTCTTCTATGCACCATGGCTCCCAAAAATTATTTTATGTCCACTTCTAAAAACAAACCAACTCATGCGGGTAGATACTGAAAAGGATCTTGTACACCACATGTTTGATCTTCATTATAATATCTTCTTCGGTCTTCTTGCCATCATCAAATCTGATTACATTCCGTGCATGCCAAATGTAGTAGACAGTTGCACAAAATGCAATTCGAGCTGCCTTAGCCTTCAACTTCGAACCTTTGTGAGTCTTTGTGATCCATTTGACTGCGCTAAGCATTGTCTTCATCTCATGCCGTAGTCCCATCCAGTTCCGGATATGCTGCCATACCTTACAAGTAAAGGGGCAAAGGAAAAAAAGGTGTGGTATTGTCTCCAAACCACCCTTGCATAAGTCACACCGGTTCACAATATGGAGATACCCGAGGCTATCCTGCGTAGGAAGCCGATTTCTCAAAGCCAACCATACATTGAACGAGAATTTTTGGGGGATGTAGGATTTCCATATGAAACTCATAGGTGTCCTAGCTCCACCCTTAACTCTCAACAGCTCATAAACCTTAGCGGAGGCTAATTTACCATTCGTGGCGCGAGAACTAAGTCCCAAAATCATATCATTGTGGTTATTAAAACCAGACCGAATCCTGTCCCGAATGAGACTCAACCGCTTCATTAGCTGTGAGTCTCGGGTGTGTGGGACAAAGTCCCACACGGTTCTACCCTTAAGATAGACACCGTTCACCCACCTCACCCAAAGGGTGTCTTTCTTCATGTGGACGTCCCAAAGGGTGCGAGAGAGGAGGGCATGATTCCACACCTTGGCATTAAGAATGCCAAGACCCCCTTCCTCTTTAGGAAGACAAATGTCATCCCAAGCCACCTTGGCAAACTTACCACCCCAAAGAAAAATACGGCAAATCGAGACAATTCTATCTAAAATAGTTTGAGGGACGGGGAAGACCTGGAGCCAGAACGACTGGACCCCTTGGATCACTGATCGAATTAGCTCAATTTTGCCAGCATAGGACAACGTATTGGTATTCCATGCCTTTAAAAAATCATTGACCGTGTCAAGTAAGGGGGCATATTGTGCAACCGAGATCTTAAGTGGGGCAAGAGGTATTCCAAGGTATCTTACCGGAAATACGCCTTGCCCATAATCAACAATATCCAGAATATTTTGAAGTTCTTGGTCCCTCACCCCACCCACGAAAATATTAGATTTCCCGTGGTTCACTCTAAGGCTCGATACGTCCCCAAATTCTTTGAGAGCATTGACCAATATTTCTACGGAATATGTGTCACCTCTCGAAAAGAGCATAAGGTCATCCGCATAGGCCAAATGGGTGATACCCAAAGAAGAGCATTGGGGGTGGAAATTGAAATTATCTCCTTTGGTTCTCACTGTGAGTAACCGAGAGAAGTATTCAAGACATAAGACAAAAAGCAATGGGGACATCGGATCCCCTGTCGTATTCCTCTTTTTCCTTTAAAGAAGCCATACAACGACCCGTTTAAGGAAACCGAGAACGATGCCGTTGATATACATTCCATAATCCATGCAACAAAACGATTCGGGAAGCCCAAACCCATTAGGACTTTTTCAAGAAAATCCCAAGATATCGTATCGTAGGCCTTGCGCAAATCCACCATAATCATACATCTTGGCGAAATTCGCTTCCTATTGTATCCTCTAACAAGTTCCTGGGCTAGGAAGATGTTATCAAACATTAGGCGACCATCCACAAATGCTCCTTGGGCTTGATTAACCAACCCCGAAAGGCACGGGGTTAATCTAGCCGCAATAATTTTGGTAATGACTTTATACAAAACATTCGTGCAAGAAATGGGTCGATAGTCCGAGACTTTTGGGGAGTGGCTAGTCTTAGGGATTAATGCTATAACAGTATGATTGATCTGTTTGAGCAATTTTCCCGTTCGAAAGAACTCCTTAATAGCCCGTACCATGTCATCCCCAACAATACTCCAGTTGGCTTTAAAGAAAGCCGAGGAGAACCCGTCAGGTCCAGGTGCCTTATCATCCCCGATATCAAACAAGGCATCTTTAATTTCCTTGTCAGTTATCGGAGCAAGAAGGCCGTCATGAACGCATGGTTCAATCAGAGGACCAGTACCTAAAACCGAGTGGTCTAGGTCAAGGGTATCCACTTGCGTTCCAAATAAATCAACAAAAAAGTTTACAAATACATCACCTACATCATCTAAAGACTTAGTAAAGCTTCCGTCTTCAAGCATAACCGAGGAGATAGTGTTTCTGGCAGCGTTCCTCTTTACAATTGCATGGAAGTAGCGTGTGCCCTTGTCCGCTTCCAGAATGTGCGTGGCTTTGGCCCGTTGTTGAAAGAAACATGTTTCAGCCTCCCCCAAAAAGGTTGCTTTTTTCCTAGCCACCATCAACTGCACTTTAAGTTCTTCATCCATCGGCGATTCCATCATGAGTTTGTTTAGTCTTTTAAATTCCTCCTTAGCCAGTTTTGCTTTTACGGAGATATGCCCGAACTCCAATTCATTAAGCTTCTTTAAAGGTGCCTTTAGCGCCTTAAGTCGCTTAATAAACGAGTATTGAGCTGTACCATCAACAGAAACCGGCCAATTCTGCAAGACAATATTAGCAAATTCCGGATGCTTAATCCACATATTAAAAAATTTAAAAGGTTTCGGCCTAAGAGAGGAGTTTATGAGTATTGATGTTACGGAAGCCGTATGATCAAACTCTGCCTCCATTTCATTGAAATGGGCCTTACACACAATCCCTTTTTGTTCCCAAACCTCATTGAAGAGGACTCTATCAAGCTTAGCCCATAAAGAGCCCCTATTCCACGTGAAAAATTCTCCCGTGGATGGGGCGTCCTCAAGGTTAGCCACAATTTTAAAATTAGCCAGGTCCTGCATCATATAAGCCACGGGTGGGGTGGACCCCAATCTCTCATTAGGAGCGCAAACACAATTAAAATCACCCAAAACTAACCACGGTTCCGTAAACCGGCTACCTAAATTAGCAAGATAATCCCATAAAAGTTTGCGCTCCAAGACAGTATAGAGTGGATAAACAAAAGTCACAAAGAAAGATAATTGAGATACACGGCACATACACTTAACATGCACATGCTGAGTATCAATGTCACTTACCACACAGTTCAAAAAATTCGTATTCCACAGAACCACAATTCGGCCGCCTGTTATATGTTCAAAATTATTTGCACATAGCCAGCCAGGCCATTTATTAGTAACATATTTTTTTAAATTTTCTTTTGTCATTTTTGTTTCCAAAAAACAACATAAGTTAACCTTATTAATTTTAATAAAATTGCTAATAATATTATGTTTAGAGGCTTTATTTAAACCTCTTACATTCCAAGAAGCAATCTTAATCATCAAGATAAGTAGAGGTTCGAGGATTGGTTCTCATCCCCGGGGTCATCTTTCTCACCATCTTGTGATTTTTCAGCCTGCCTTTTCCTTCGAAGCTTCTCCTTTAGGTACTTAATATTCCTGGCAAGGTTAGCATTGAAGAAGTTCATAACATTAGGGGTGAAAACATTAGTAGGAAATTCATACCAGTCGCCTTTCTTTTTCACACCCGGGTATGACAGGATGAAGGACTCAGTGAAGGTAACCCCTGGATCCTCATCCTTCACTTTTTGGAGTTGAAAACCCACCCTAACCGTAGTTACTCCAACTGGCAGCAGGTCTGGCGAGCATACACACGCCATTCTTTTGCCATTTCCATCGGTGCCCACCTTGGTAACAATGTCCCCTTCAGCCATATCATGCATGTTGCGAATGAGGGAGCCCAGTTCATCAGTTTGCACTACTTTACTACCTTGCAGTGCTGCCTTTCCATTCGGTCCAGGCAGTTCACCAGTTGGCTCATTTGGAAACAATTGAGAGGAGCTCGGCACATCCAAAGCTAAATGATCCAAAGCTCTTAGGAAATCCACGTTTTGCTTAGCCTGGATATCAAAGAAAGAAGCTACATTAAGGAAAAAAACTTCTTTATTAAAGGCATACCAATTGAACGTTCGCTTCACCCCAGGCAAGGAAACCAAGCATGGGTCAGTGAAGGAGATGGCCGGTATATCCAGGTTGTCTTCTCTTTGGAGGTTTGTTCCCAGCCTAGCAATACAAATGTAGCTCTTGATTTGGTGCCTCTTTTTGACATACGCCACGTGCACACCATCTTTGTTGGTTTCAAAGTGTGTAACAATATCATCAGCTTCTAGCTCATACACACTCAGAATCTTTCGGCCTTCCCATACAAGTTCCTCCCAGTCACCATCTTTCTCCTGCTCCATTGTTGCAGTCGGGATAGCAAAAGTGGCTGGCAGTTTAAACAGTTCTGGCTTAGCAATGCTCCCCTGCGCCGGTGGTACCCTGTTTTGCCCTCGGGCAGTAGGGTTCTTACCTTTCACCCTGGCATTGGCATCCACCTTGTTTTTTTCCTTTGGAGGATTCAGTTTTAAGCAATTGAAAGGGTGATGGCCGTACATCTTGCAATTGTAGCAGTAGTCCGGGTAAGATTCAAAGATGACTTGCTGCATATATTCCTTCCCAGAGGGAGGAATAATAGGAAATTGGAGCACCGGAGGCTTTGTGACATCTACTTCCACTAAAACTCTTGCAAAGTGGGTATATACAATATCCTGGGTAACCTTATCCGTGGTGATAGGGATACCCACTTGAGACGCAATCATACCCAACTCCTTTGCTTTCCACAGTCGCATAGCTAAATTTGGGAGCTTTATCCAGATTGGCACTTTAAGAAATTCTTCACTGTCAACCGAAAAATCTTCTGACAATTCTTTAAGGAACATAGTCTTCCCAAAGAGGACATAAGGACCCTCAGTTAACACTTTCAGCCGGTCTGCCTCAGTTTTGAATTTAAATATTACCCAGCCCTTGCTATGTGATTTTACATCAACTTGGACCCCCCACTTTGCAGTCAAGTCATGTATAGCTTTAAGCCCAGGAAATCTGCCAGAAAAATGACCCACCAGGCAGTAACCCCACACCTCAATTAGGGTAGGTACCTTAAGGTGTGAAAAATCAAGCTTCTCCCCCGTAGGGGGGAAGAATTCTAGTTTTAAACCAACTGTTGGTGCCCTGTTATTATGGAACAGAGAGTTCCATTTCTTTGTCTCTTTATTTCCATCCCTGGCTGCCCCAAATATCCCTAGAGGCTCAGTGTCATGTGAGCCCAAGGAGATGGATCTATCTGGCACAATGGTGGTCTCAGTCTCATCAGAAGTTTCAAAGATTGGAGCATCCCCATAGTTCACTGGTTTCATAACAAAGGACAGCTCCTTAGTTGGTATAGCACTTGATGAAGCAGAACCTATGCCCAGGACAGGCACAGTTTCACATGATACATCAGCAGTAGCCTCAGGTCCCCCTGGTTTAACTGGCGTAGCTTCAGGTGTAGGTGTTTCAGCATGAGAAATAACATTCCCAGGTTTAGCACATGTTGCTGCATCATTATCAAATCCCCCCACTTCAGTAGCAGGCATGACATTAATATCCTGGTTAACTTCCCCAGCAGATGTGACAACATTGGAGTCAGTTTCTTCGGTTGAGTTAGCAGAGATAACAGGAGCATCAGTCGGTAGAACTTGCATGATTACCCCCTGTTTCTTAAGTTTCTCAACCAATACAGCAGCTTTCTTCTCTTTCAGATATTTGATCTTGTCATCAAATTGCTTGTCTTTAGTGGGTGGAGTTCTGTTTTGCTTGTTCTTCTTTGCCATTACAGGGAAGAAGATAAACAGTGCCCCGTTTATAAAGAGTCCCCAGAGAGGTGTGAAAGGTACACCTTAGTGAGACCACCCAAACCAACCCCAAAAATTCAGCAAATACTCTCACACGTTCTCCTTGAAGTTAGGAACAGCTCAGTACCTTCCGTTAGACAATCGGACAATTATGGAGTTCAGAAAGAATTCCTAACTAGTCAGGATGTGCAGGAAACACTGTAGCAGGCAGTGTGGAGAAGATGAACAGTAACCGGCTTTTCCAAACAGCTCAGAAAAAGATGAAAAAATCACAGATAGTTCCCCTTAGCAAGGCGATTCACACAGTATAATTTTTCTTTCAGCCCATGAGTAACACTTCCAGAAAAAATTAAAACAGAAAACCGCCCTGCGTCAAAGCTACAGTAGCAAAGAATTGGGGAGAACCTGTCTTCAAAAAAAATTCCTCGATTCTGGAGTTTTAAGAGGATTGAGGCCTTGAAAATGGTGTTGGGAGGTTCGCCAGAGGGTGGCGACCCCCAAACAATCCCCCTTTTGCAGCAACAATCGTCAGAAAACAGATCGTAGTCCCAATTTGAAGTCTGCGAGTGAACAGTGAAATCTGCGCGCTGGAGCAGAAAAAAGGCTTCGTTCAAGCTCTAAAATTCAGTTTCTTTCAAATTCTAACCGACGAAAAAGAAAGAGGGCTGAAATCCGAGCCTAGAACACCAAGAAATTCCAAGATTAAACAAGTAATTTGAAAGCTAAAAGAGCAAAGTATCGTTCGTGCAACCTAGGGAAATATAACCGTTAGGCGTATTTTCCTAGTGAGAAGCGAGAGCGTTCTCTACGCGAACCGTGTACACATTGTTCTCTATACTTCTATATATAGCTTGATGGAGTAGTTTGTTCTAGACTTCTAGCCAACTTTATAAGTTTTATGCTTAATAATTGTTTCTAAAGAAAATTGAAAGATACATTTGTTTTTTGACATATAATTAATGGACACATGCATATTTTCATTTTGGGACTTTTTGCAAACTTGTATTCTATATTCTGTTTAAAAGAAACTTACTATCATGTACATAAAGTAGTATCCCATTTATCCAATTTGCAATAGTTGACCTACCTTTCAAATTTTATCTGCAAGAACTTACATATAAAATGCTTAAATTGAAACTACAATGGTTGCTAACATCAAACTTGTTCTCTAATGGATCCATGTCCGGATAAACAAAGTATTCACCAATATTAAATAAAAAAAAATGATTAAAATGTGTGGATTTAGAAACTTTGGTAAATGGGTTATTAAATTGCAAAAAATGAATGTGATAAAAACTTATCACATAAACTTTGAGATTAAATGAAATTAAGTAGACTATATAAATGATGTCGTAGAATCTTAATTTAGGATTGATGAAGCATATAATTACATGGATAGATAGATAGATTAATAATAAACTAATTATAACATTTTCAATAAATACATACGATAGTATATAAATAAATAAAAATGCACAACAAAATTGCCACAAAGTTATATACATTGATAAACTATTTTTTCGTGACATGCACACCGTGGTTTATCAAGTAACATCAATGTTAGCAAGATTGAGGTTGACCTTCAAAAATTTATGGAATGGGAAATATTATTTTCAACAGAAGGGGAAATTAAAGAAATCGAAAGGAGAAAGCAAAAAAAAAAAAAAATAGAAGAGAAATTGGGAGAAGGCGGTATTGTCCGGTAATAATTGGGCAACTACCTTACCCTAACCCCGGGAAGAACATCCCATTCCTTTTTCGGACTTTTGTTTCTTTTTTCCCCTAATTCTGAACAAAGAAGAAAAATCATCCAATCTCTCACACCCAACTGAAACAAAAGTCCCATAATTTTGTGAAATCTTTACGACAAAATAACATATCTTCCCTTCAAATAATCTCAAGGAACATATATGATGAATGCCATGCATATATGCACATACATGCATATATGATATATATTTATTGCATTATTATTATTGATTGATTAATTATTAATCTTAGTCCTGCATTTCCATTCGTCGTGGTCAGCCTCCATCTGTGATGTTATTTCGACACGAAAACAATGTAAGCTTCAATTGATGCACTTTTCGTTATTGATTTGTTTATGTAAAATGGTTATCTTTTTTAAAGAATTATTATATTTGTGCGGCCCTTTATGTACTGGCAGTGAAAGAGTGATCAGGATTCAGGAGCATGAATTCATTGGAATTGTAACATTGTGATCTGGATTCTTTGAATTCAGAGGGTAAAATGTCTATTCACCAGGGCAACTCAGAAGGCAACAATGTTTCAGGTAGTTTAAGTTCATCTCATGGTTTATGATTTCAATGAAATTAAAAAAAAATTGATTTAAATGTAAGTTTGGAAATCGGATCTCCTTTTGATGGCATTAGGTTTGGATTTGATTCTTATGAAGAGATAGTACAATTGATGTTGTCCAAAAAAGCATTTTTAGAGTTCTTAGTATGGTACTAGATGGTGTGTTATATTCTAGCTACTTGGATGACATCTCAAATGTTGAATTGTTTTTGTTTAAAGTGATGTGCGTAGCTCAACTGATAGATAGCTAGGAGTGTCACAAGGGATAAGTCTCGTTTTCGAATATCGGCAACTGGCCATCTGTGATAAGAGATTACTGTGTAAAAATGCATAGGACACCTACAAAGACCTGAGCCGGAGACACTAGTCAGTTTGTGATTATAATCCAATTTAAATCCTTCCTATTAATTGGTCGGCCGGTGCGGGTGTCATCTTTAAAAAAAAAAAGATAAAAGGCTACACTAGAATTATAACCACTTGTACAAATGTAAATCCAAATCAACCCCTTTTCAACTCTTTTAGTATATTTCTTTTTTCTTTTTTATATTTAGTTCATTCTATTAATGTTTAAGTCTAGTATAATTACTTTTTCATCAAGGGCACTAAATTCATGCCCACATATATGGTTTTGTAACTTTTGTTGTCTTTTGTGCCTGATGCTTTCATTGTCACATGGACTTCATATTTGTGGTGCGTAGATTTCTGCTTCTTGGTGTTAGTGTATTGGTAATAAAATAATTTATTGGTGTGATAATGTAGGCTCCTGCCTCTATGAGCTTCTACAATTGGAAATCACTCCAAGCTTTCGCCGTCAATTGGAAATGCATGACCGTTCTCTAAGTATATTACCTCCCTTTTCAAATTTGTTCAATAAATTGTCTTGAATAGAAATAAAAGTAAGGTGATTATTCGAAATAAAAGATTATGTTTTTCTTGGATCAAGTATTATCATACTAAATCATATTGTCATACTAAAGATGTTCAGTTAAACTTGTTTCACTTTCAAGGAAAACATCATAAAATCATTATGGATTACTTCAATCCTAAAGAAAAACATCTTATTTTACTCCTTTGCTCAAAGTTTCCCTTTTCCTGGAGGTTTCAATATTCTTTTTAGAATTATGGAATCTTTTACAAGTATTTGTTCGTTCACTTATTTATTTTTACATCTTCATTTGCATCTTCTTTGAGTCAGGTCCTCGGGTTAGATTGCAGGCTTTGATGAAAGAGCCAGGCAATAGATATTGCGCAGATTGTGGATCTCCAGAGCCCAAATGGATGTAAGATAAATGCCAATCAAGAACTTGCATGGGAGTAATTATAAGCTTGTTTGGATACCACAAAAATTGATTGATTCGGCCAGATCCATTTAAATTGATGAAATTCTGATTAAAGTGATTGGATTTACTAAATTATGAAAAAAATACTATTTAAATTGCAGAGTATATTTTATTAAGGGAAGCGCGGAAAAGGTACATGTGGTTTGTGTCGTTTTTAGGTAGGGGCATGTGTTTCATTTTTAACTAGAACACGTGTTTCATTTTCATTATCATATGAGAGGCATGACACTTAACGTTGTTAGAAATCTTCTTGACGGGGCGCACCTCCCAATTTTTATTTTTATTTTTTAGACATATTTGAAAATCAGAGTTATTGTTCATTGTCTTCCTTTGACGATTTCTAACGGCGTTAAACACCATGCCCCTCGTGTCATAACGGAAGTGAAACACATGTTCTACTTTGTTAAAAAATGAAACACATGCCACTATCCGAAAATGGATCATACTACATGTCTTTTTTTCGTTCTCTTCCCTTTTATTCATATAGTCTAATAAAATTGGTTAATGAATTGGCACTTGCATACAAAATGGCTTAATGCTGATATTCATCAGATCTGTGAGTCTTGGAGTGGCTATATGTATCAAGTGTTCTGGTGTACATAGAAGCCTTGGGGTCCATATATCAAAGGTACTCTAGTACCAATGAGTTTTTTTTTTTATTACTGCTACATAACATAATAAGTGATCAATGAATACAATTTATGTATCCATAAAGTGTATATATATGGTACCAGGTTTTATCAGTGAGCCTTGATGAGTGGACAAATGAGCTGGTAGATTCTCTGGTGGAAATGGGCGGAAATGCCGTTGCAAATTTGAAATATGAAGCTGCCATTCCAGAGAATTATAAAAAGCCAAAACCAGATTCATCCATAGAAGAACGCACTGACTTTATAAGGTAATAAATAATTAGTATTATAAGAAGTACTCCCTCCGTCCCTTAAAACTTTGCCAACTTTCCTTTTTTGGATGTCCCACTAACTTTGCCACTTTCTCTTTTAAGTAAAGAATTTGTGGTTTCAGTTAATTCTCTCTCTTCTGCACAAACCTCAACCACACAGTTTTTACTTTATTAATCCCCGTGCCGGTCAAACTTGGCAAAGTTTTAAGGGACGGAGGTATTAGTAAAAATAAAACAAGAGTCTATGACAAATATGCTACTTAAAGAAATGGAAAAAACGTGACCTTAAAATGCATAGTGATCATAAGGTCATGTTTGTTTTTTTGGTGTTTTCAACTCCAAACGAGGCAGTATTTCTAGCGTCTTCTTATAACAACGTTTTGACCCAACACACTAGAATCCAAACAACCTCAATGTCATTCACTTTAAATCTTAGTGACACTTTATTTTTCAATTTTACAAAGATACGTAGTAATAGGTAGCAAATATATCTAATCATATATTTTCACGAGTCCATTTTAATTATTATAGTAATTTGAAATAACCCTATGTAGCGTGAATTACGTTTTCTGCGACTTTGAAATCAGACGATTCCTTTCCAAATTGGAACTTTTATAAAAGAAAAATTTGTGTTGTACACAGAATGAGTACACAATTTGTACACAACTCTCTAGTTGGCTGTATACACAGACAATTCATTTGAAAAATGAATGGATTTTATGCCAAAATGCGTGACTCTCAGTGTACACGGACAATGTACAATTTATGTACACATTTTGTGAATACCAAAAATTAGTCATACGTTTGGACCTAACCCAAAAGTAAAAAGTAAATGCACGTCATATTGAATAAGAAACAAATCACACTACTTCGTTGAATTTAACGGATTAGTGACATAACAATTTGCATAACCACATGTTTTATTGAATGGACAGTATAGTATTTTGATGTGAGAACTTTAACATCAGTCATTTGGATGATCAGGAGAAAATATGAACTTCAGCAATTTTTGAACTACGACCTAGAGATGATATGCCCATTTTCATCTTCAGCGTCATCTTATTGTGATTCATTAGCATATTATTCTAGCCCATCCCTAGAGAGGAAATGTCAATATGAGAAGCAACCAAGTGGTCATCGGAACCACCACGGTGGTTTCGGACACGCATTTCGCCACAGTCGAAAAAGGAAAGATTCTGACCACCAGCGGAGTAGGAAAAGCAGCTCTATGGTAAGAAGTCGATCTGAAGGATGACTAACATTTCCTTTTCACAAGAGGTGGACTCACTCAACTTATAGTTGTTGACACTTTTACCTATATAGGCAGGTATGGTCGAATTCATCGGGCTTGTATCAGTCAATGTGGTGAGAGGGACCCACCTCGCTGTTCGGGATGTTGTAACCAGCGATCCTTACGTTATTTTGTCATTGGGAGCCCAGGTAATCAACATAAATGTTTCATTGCTAGGCATGGCCATTACACCTATAGAATTGTACCTCAAATCTTTAGCAAACCAAAAACTTTTCAACGGGGGCTATACCCAATTTAATACAATATCGGAGTCAATCCAATATGTAGCAATGATGTGAGCTCAAAACAACAAAATGTGCAATCTATATAGAGGTGTGAGACTATGTGTCTAATGACTTCTGTGTACAATTATATGGTCCAAACTATTGTTAACCATGATGGGTGTTCACCCCTACAAACTAGCATATAGCATTATGGACTACTCGTCCTATCAAATCCGATCAAGGGGGCCTCTAAGGATGAAACATATGTCATAATAGAATTTAAAGTGATAAGCTAAAAAAATAAATACACAAATTTAACAGCTGGTATTTTGTATAGTTGCCTCACACATATGATGATAGAACCTCAATAGTGGAGGTTATTGGGGAAAATTTAGATTTGGTATATACCCAAAAATACCACCATATTAGATATTAGTATTTGATTTACTGCGATATTAAACTATGTTTCTATTAGATTAACGATTTCAAGTGAAACTTTAAATATTAATAACAACGTGATCGTAAGCTTAGAAAGGCTGAACTATTCTTGGCTCTCACTGAGTCGGGTTTTGTTTTTTCAGTCAGTGAAGACGCGTGTCATAAAAAACAATCTAAACCCGGTATGGAATGAGAAGCTGATGCTATCAATCCCAGACACCATTCCTCCTTTAAAAGTGGTAAAGAAGCATTTTCATTTCTTTTTGAATATATAGTGATACACGTGATATGAAGTTGAGTTTGGTGGTGGAACGATTCTGCGTGCAGCTAGTGTACGACAAGGACACGTTCACGACAGACGATTTCATGGGGGAAGCTGACATTGACATTCAGCCACTTGTGGTGGCTGCAAAAGCATCCGAGGGCTCAAGTCCGGAGGAGGCTGCTCATTTGGGGAAATGGGAGGCAAGCAGAGAGAACACACTGGTGAGGGATAGTATTATAAAGCTGGTGGAGGGGAAGGTCAAACAAGAGATATCTATAAGGCTTCAGAATGTTGAGAGGGGTGTCCTAGAGATTGAGCTGGAATGTGTTCCTCTCACTCAATAGAAGTCCTAAAGGGGAAGGAAAATTTTGTGTATAATGTGGAGTGTGGAATACCCTTTTTGAATGCTTCAAATGAAGTTTCTTAACAATTTTCAAAGTTCTTTACTTGGATGTCTTATATTCTCTTTCTGTTTTTGTCATACGTGGATCATAAGGATCTATATACACAAGCAAATTTGATGTATCCACACACCCTTGGTAGATAGAATTTCACGAAGAGAACTATTCATAAAAGAATGTCATGACGAATTACATGGTAGCTAGAATTTCATGAAGAGAACTACCCATAAAAGAATGACATGACGAATTATATAGGTATAACTTATAAATAGCAAAAGTTGTGAAGAATGAAGACCACATATTTACTATTTCTTGGAGAAATAGGTTGTGGTAGCACAATTGGAAACTTAGTCAATGAATGTGTTCATTTTAAAAAATTAAGTGAAATACAAGTACTACAAGAACATGTTGGAAATATGAGAACCTATTATATGTACCAAATTCTCGATTCCCGTGTGATGCAATAAATGACAATCGAAATTAATTACTATTCCACTTTCGATATCTATATCAAAATTTTATTATATTTGAATTTAAATTTTGCGACCTTATAGACTTATAGTGTATATAATGTAGTATGTGTGTAAATTTTATTACTCCTTATCTAATTTTGATTAGAAAATTGTCGGGGAGAAATTTATTTTTATAACTTTCTAATTTTGATTACAGACATCGATCAAACCTCAAAATCCAAAATGTAACGATCTTTTTGGGACGGAGGGAATAAATTTTTGTATATGACTAATTAGATAACTTCTCGTGATCATGATTACGTTCAATTATAGTAGTATGTTGCAACCATGACAACGTTTTCATAAAAACTTTAGTCACATTTTTTCCCGATAAATCATATGTCAACATTTTAAGTAAATTCAATCGTACAGCCGGCTGTATCGTGCGCATGGTACAGCCGGCCTTTTAGTTCGCTAATCGCAAGTGATGGGCTTCCATCGCAGTTCGCAGGCGTCTATGAGCTTCCATCGCAATTCACAAGCTTCCATCGCAGATCATTCTCGTTCTTCGAGCGCCCAGATGATGATTCTCGACAGCCGCAACCTCCAGCACGAGCACAACACCGGCTTGAGGGAGGCTCTTGCGGCGGCTCCTCCTAGTGTATAGCCCTAGTTGCTTCTTTTCCCTCATTCTTGCTCTGGACTCTTCCTTTTTCTCTTTTTCTTACCCAAGTGTGGTGAGTGAGTTTGGTCACTTGTTGGCCACAGGTTAGAGAAATCTAAGTTGTACGTAATTCTTCAGATATGAGCATAAAAAATGAAATTATGAGAACAATAGACATTTGATATATGTGTAATACTCATTTTAAAATGGCATATTCATACATATTTCAAAATGAGTTTTATGTTAAACTTAAATGAGTACTATTTTATGTTAAACACCTAAAATGGATGAGCACACACAAATGAGTTTTTGAATATTTTGAGACTCATTTTGTAAGTTATGTATGCTCATTTGGTACTATTTTATACTCATTTTAAAAGGTTGCAGATGTTAACATATCATAATCCATTAGGTTCTCATATTGAAATGAAATGAACTTGATTATAGACATAGTTTAAGACTTTAATAAACGAAAAAATAATAAACAGAATGTGATACATGAGGAATGAAGCAGATATCACTAATGGTCACCGTTAGGCTCCTAATATTCAAAAGAACATGCTCGATGCTCATCAAAATTGATGGGGTTTTGTCTACAATAATACTAAAAAAGAGCTATGGACAAAAAAGTGACCTTTTTCTCAAATTTCCAAAAATAAGACTAAAAAGTGATTAGGAGACTATTATACCCCTATTAGTGCTACAGTAACGTCACAATGAACAGTAACACCATAGTGACCAAAATCCGTCAGTGACCAAATTCCGTCAATGACCAAAATCCCAAAAAAATATTAGTGACCAAAAATTCAAATTTCACCAGTGACCAAAAATCATTGGTTACCAAAAATTCCGCCCAATAACATAGTGACTTCCACACAGTCAGTACCAACGTCCGTCTGTCCAGTGACCAACGCCCGCCTGTCCAGTTACAGTTACTTAACCTAATCACTTATAGTTACTCGACTCATCTACTTTTATTTATTCAATTTTAACAGTTACAGTTACTCGATTCGATCAATTACAATTACCGGACACGATCAATTACAATTAAGTTACAAACAGTCCTGCAACACTTTTCCAAGCAAATTTATGATAACACCGCCATCCGCCGCCATGGCCGCCGTGACATGAGCACCACACCGGTGGCTGGCATCTCCGCCCATCTCTAACCGAAATCCCAAATCACAGCCCTCAAACAGTCAAACCTCCTGCCACTGTCGCCGGCAACCATCTCCTCGCGGTCTCGCCCACCAAAGCGGGTGACCAACCACCACGTCAGTGACCACCCCACCCCTGACATCTCCAGCGGCAGGAACAACACTGCCGCCACGCCGCCAAGACAATCCCAACTCCATTGCCCCAATCACCCCTGTTCAACAGCCCACACCCCGTCCTGGGCGATAGGCTGAGACTTAGACAAATGAGAGGAGAAGGCACAAGGAGAATCATGGTCCAAGTCTGGTGCAGGGAGAAAGAAACGTATCGGAGGGAAGATGCGGTTAGGGAAGAGAAGAATAGTGATAAGGTGTACGGTTAAATTAGTAATTGCACAATACAAATGGTCTCATTTTGGGGAAAACGTAAAAGGGGTCATGTTTTTGTCTTTAGAGTTCCTATTGGTATTATACGTGCTAGGGGAGGGCAAACGGGTCTTGGAACCACGGTCCGGTCTGTGTAATGGGGGTTCGGGTCCAAAACGGGTCGGTTCCATTTTTTGTTGCAAGAAAACGGTCTGGGTAGGGCCGGGTAATTTTTTTAAAAGACCCGGGCCTGTTCCAAAATAAAAAAATTACCGGGTACCCGCCCCACCCCGTTATATATATTGCATAGTAATTTTTAATACTTAGGCCTCTGCCAACTTAGATTACTTAGGCCTATGATGTATCTCAAATTCTCTATATTCTAGTTTTGGAGTTCTTTTAAGCTACTAATGAATATGAGTTGTAATGTTGTTATTTTGGTATTGTCATTTTGGACTTGAAGGTAAATTATGTTGTTATTTTGGTGTAGTCTTTTCGGACTTGAAGGGTTGAAGGTTTACACTTTACTATGTTGTTTGGTGTGGTCATTTGGGAACTTAAGAGTTGCTATGTTGCTGATTTTTGGAACTTCTTTAATTGCTTGGAACTTAGATATATGGAGTTATGGAGTATTGAACTTGTCACTTGTGTTAGATGTGCACAAGTATGTTGTTATTTTGAAACTTGTCAATGTACTATACGGAGTATTATTAATCATTGATTATTGATTTTTGGAACTTTGTAAGTTTTTACTATTTTTAAGACATGGAAATAGGAATCGAAAAACCCGATCCAGATCGACACGTTTCAAACGGGCCGGGTAAGGTCCGGTTCCTATTTTGAAAATTGCAATACCCGAACCGGACCGGACTGTATAATGGAACCGGCGGTTCCATTTTATTTTGCTTTGCCCGCCCCGACCCGGCCCGCGCCCAGCCCTAATACGTGACATTCTTTCAAAATTGATTCAATGCTCATTTAAGAAAATCCAACATTTTCACCAAAATTTCAAGTTTGCCACCGGCTGTACGGCTAGCATCGTACAGCTGGCTGTACAATATAGGCTTCCCGAACAAACCCCTAGAAATTTAGTTTAATGTAGAAATGATTTTTTTAGGTCAACTAAGGACCAACCAACTTAACAGATTGCAGACCCAGGCCCGAGGGGCATTCAGCCCATGACAAAAGAAACACGCAACATTGGCATTTCATTCATAATATTGAAGATGATTTCCCCACACCCCAACATGTTGACGTGCAAGTGATGACAAACACAAAGGGTAGTAATCAAGAACCAAGACATTCTTTGTACTTGCAGAAAGGGACAAACTGCAAAGTTGTCAATCAGATAATATAATACCAAGGATAAATCTAATTCAAACTTCCCACAGTTAACACAATAGTCTCAACGTCCACAAAGGAGAAATTTAACTTATGATTAAATCGAACAGCATTGGATAAACCAAAAAATCTGCCTCCATATCCAATATCTTGGTATCATAGCCAATCTGAACTAAAAAGGATGGATATTTACACAAAAAATGAAAGGTTTAGAAATGGTTGGACTTGAGAACACCATATTGAAGTGGTATATAATTGAATCCTAACGCATAGACCACTGTCCCTTGGCCTCAAGCCAATAAAAAGTTATTGTGAAAAAATAAAATATAACATTCATTGGAGTAAGTAAACCATTTTTTCAGACTTTGCAGAATGGGGTAGCATTTTACCTTAACATAAAGGTTAAACGCTAACAACCTTGAGGGCCTTACCCAAATGCTGACTCACATATTCAATTTCCACAAATGAATTTGTGTCAAGTCTCAAGTCTTTCTAGTTTCTTCCTCAATCATCATAATATGTTTAAGCAATTAACTAGAATTAACAGTTCTAGCATAGTAGGGTAGCAGTTTTTTAATAAGAAGCAAATACAGGCTCCATTTGGGTGGAGATTAACAGCTGTTTACTTATTTAAATTCCTTCTACCAAAAGCATTTCCTTTCAGTACATTTATCAACGAAACAAGCTCTTATTTTGCTTGCAAGCCCCCATCAGGAAACTTGAATGTAAAGCATACAATTTAACATATACGTATTACTGCGTATAAAGAAATGAGGCATCAAAAGGTGTTTTTTTCCTTATCTTTATTTTCTTTATGCAGCCTTTCATAATTTACACAATCTGCATAAAATGAGCAGCAGAAGCAAATATAGTCCTTAAGAGTCTTATAGACCAAAGTGCCACTCCAAACATTCATCTCAATTTTAAAATATCACATTGGGTAACAAGTTGTCACCCACAAAGTAATATGTACATTATCAACTCGGCATAACATAATATAATAATATTTGATGCAAAACCTATATAA